GGTGGGTTACTTCAGAAGTTAGAGATTCTGAAGTGGAATGGGAGCAGATCACTATGGATTTCGTTGTTGGGCTTCCTCAGACTCAGAGTATGATGCAGTTTGGGTGATTATGGATAGGCTGATAAGTCAAATCATTTCATTCCTGTGATGACTACTTATTCTTTCGAGCAGCTGGCTCGAGTTTATATCCGTGAGATTGTCAAGTTTCATGGTGTGCTGGTATCTATCATCTCTGACCGGGGTATGCAGTTTACATCACGGTTCTGGAGGGCCATACTGCATGAGTTAGGTACTCGGGTTGAGTTGAGCACATCATTTTACCCTCAGACAGAAGGACAGTCCGAGCGCACTATTCAGATACTAGAGGAAATGCTCCGTGCATGTGTGATGGAGTTTGGAGGTTCTTGGGATCAGTTCTTGCCACTTGTGGAGTTTGCCTACAACAACAGTTATCATTCGAGCATTCAAATGGCACCGTATGAGGCTCTGTATGGTAGGCGGTGTCGGTCTCCAATGGGTTGATTTGAGCCAGGTGAGGCTAGGCTATTGGGTATACACTTGGTTCAGGACGCTTTGAAAAAGGTTAAGGTAATTCATGATCAACTTCGCATAGCCCAATCCAAACAGAAGAGTTATGCGGATTGAAAGGTTCATGATGCTCCATTCATGGTTGGAGAGCGGATCTTGCTCAAGGTTTCGCCCATGAAGGGTGTTATGACGTTTGAGAAGAAGGGAAAGTTGAGCCCAAGGTTTATTGGACCATTCGAGATGTTACGGCGAGTTGTAGAGGTTGCTTATGAGCTTGCCTTGCCTCCCAACCTAGCTGGAGTTTATCCGGTATTCCATATTTCTATGCTCCGGAAATATCACAGCGATCTGTCTTATGTGTTAGATTTCAGGTCAGTCCAGTTGGATAAGGATCTATTTTATGTTGAGGAGCCAGTGGCTATTATGGAAAGGCAGGTTCGAAAGGAACGATCAAGTAAATAATAATCTAATCTAAGCACAGATGTCATAATTAAAGAAGGCAATAAATTACAAGGAAACAAGTCCCACCCGCATGCTTTAACCCAACAACAACGCATAAGTACTCTTCACTTTACATATACATTGTACCCACACATTTAAACGCATAACAAATAGGCAAATAAGTCATAATCCCTCAAATCAAGGTTAATCACGACACTTACCTCACTCTACAATCAACACAAAGCTCTACCGGGGCCTTTCCTCTAGAATCCACCTCCAAACCAATCGTATCTAACCAAAATCGACTAGTTAACGTCAAATAATGCTAAAGGATTCAATTACAATACATAAAGTTAGAATTTTTACACATTTGCCAAAAAGTCAAAAAAAGTTAACCATGGGCCCGCTTGGTCAAAACTCAAGATGCGGACCAAAACGCATTTATCCATTCACCCCCGAGCCCGATTATGTAATTAATTTTGAAATCCGACCCCAAATTGAGGTCTAAATCCCGAATTTGTAAAAAATCCCCAATTCTTTCCAAATCCAAAATTTTCTACCATGAAAGGACAAAAATTAAGGCTAAAATTAATGGGGGTGATCGAAATGGAAGAAAATAAGTTAAACTACACTAACCTATGAAAGGGTGGTGAAATTTCTCATCAAAATCACCTCTAGGTCAAGCTCTAATGAAGATATGGTGAAAATGGATGAAATCCCCTTTTTTTGAAATTTAAATGATTGGGAGTTAGGTGTTCATCACGATCGCGAGAAACTTGATGCGTTCGCGAAGAGCACTGCCTACTTGGCTTACGCGATTTCGAGATACTCTATACGATCGCGAGGTACTCTACGCGTTCGCATATGCTTAGTCCACCACACCTCCACGTTCGTGAGCTTGGGATCACGTTTGCGTAGAGTAACACATCGGTCCCCTTCCCAGGTCCAAAGCCCTACGCGTTCATAAAAAGCTGGTCGCGTTCGCGAAGGGTAAGTCCCTCATTGCTCGGTATTCGCGACCCATCTATCCTGTTCTCGATTAAGGAAATCCACTCCCAGCACAGTTTACTTTTTGCGATCGCGAGAGTACCTTCGCGATCGCGGAGAAGAAAGTACCAGATCACAACAGAAGTTCAAAAAACAGAAATTTTTAAGTTCGAAACACCTGTAGCCTATCCAAAACTCACTCGAGCTCTCGGGGCTCCAAACCAAACCAAAATATGCACACAAGCCCAAAAATATTATACAAACTCGCACGAGTGATCACAACACCAAAATAACGCCTAGAACTACGAATCGAACACCAAAACAGATGAAATTTTCAATGAAACTTAAGAACTTTCATTTTAACAACCGGATGTCTGAATCATGCCAAATCAACTCCATTTTGCACCAAATTTTGCAGACAAGTCATAAATACAGTAATGAACTTATACCAAATTTCGGAACCATAATCCGGACCCGGTAGTAACAAAGTCAAACTTCGGTCAAACTTTAAAATTTCGTTAAATCTTTAAACTTATAATTTTTCTTAATAAATTACGATAAATCACGCTACGGACCTCCGAATTCTATTATGGGCATACGCCCAGGTCCCAAATCACGATACGGATCCACCAGAATCATCAAAATACGGATCCTAGTTCGTTTTCTCAAAATATTGACACAAGTCAACTCAAAGGATTTTTAAAGCACGATTTCACATAAAACCTTCCGAAGAAGATACGGACTGCGCACACAAATCGAGAGAGGCTAAAAGAAGCTATTTGAGGTTTCAAAACACAGAATTAAGGGTTAAAACTCTAGATGACTTATCGGGTCATCACAGATATCCTCGATGAAGAAAGGATTGGAAAGACAGTTGCAAAATGTTGGATGATTTACTTGAGATTTGTCTTCTCCGGTAAATCACATCTATTTATTTAATATCGGATAGGCTCCATATTCCACTAGCAACTTTTGTGGTTACAAGATTCTGAGCAGAATATAGCCTTCAATAGAGCAGACTATAATGAAGTAGTTCTTATCCAATTTAACCCCTCATATTTGAGGTATTTAAAAATTCTATTGATGGTAATTCAAGTAAGTTGGTCGAATTATTTGCTCAACTAATGTAGAAGCATACTTTAAGTCCTTATAGATTAGTCAGAGTATTTATTTATTCTCTCTTTATTTTTATTTTTGTCGTCAGGTAGCATATTAAAAGGAAGTGGCAAACCGCTGGATATATTAGCAAAGTTAAATGAGTTAGCTAATTTTTCATCTTACGAAGAAATTAAACTTTTTAAAGTTAATTTTGTTTATAACTAATAATGAGGAACAAATGTTTTACCGATAAAAAATAAGACCAAAAATGTCATGCTCAAGCCCTTTTTTAACAAGTCACTTGGGATTGGTAGTCCATGACAACAATAATATAGAGACAACCTGATGAAATTAATCTATTTGTTTTTGGTTTTAATTGCTTTAATTGCGACCACTAAATTTAAGAGGGGTTGCTCTGATGGTAAGGAACCTCCATTTCCAACCAAGAGGTTGTGAGTTCGAGTCTCCCCAAGAGCAAGGTGGGAAGTTCTTGGAGGGAAGGATGTCAGGGGTCTATTTTGGAAACAGCCACTCTACCCCAGGGTAGGGGTAAGGTCTGCGTACACACTACCCTCCCCAGACCCCACTAAGTGGGATTATACTGGATTGTTGTTGTTGTTGTTGTTGTTGTTGTTGTGTAAATTTAATCTGCAATATACATATGTTTTTAGTATCTCTCTCCACTCTTTTTTTCTTTGAATCGATATGTACTAAGTACAGTAGTTACTAATGACAAACCCGGCATGTCATAGTTCCCCCTCTTGGAAATAAAATAGTTATGCTAATGTTGTTAGAATACACTATAAGCCATGCGTATTGTTATAGTATTCTTTATGAACAATTATTTATTTACTTGTTTAAATTCAATAAAGTTTCATTTTAAATAGATCATGTGTTGGTTTGTGCGTCCATTGCTTACATAGTAGATGATTTAGTGTATAGAGTTTAGCTTATACACGGAAGATTAAATCATCGGTTCTTGTAAGACATAAAAGATAATGTTCACAATCTAATGATAGAATTGGACAAATCATCGGAATGATTGTAGCACAAGATTAAATATAATTCATCTTGATTATGGGAATGGTTTAATTCCAACTTCTTGTGCTAGTACATTTTGTATGTATTGAACGGATCAAGTAGAGATGAGTATTTTATACTAACTTTATAAAATAATCTCTCTAGTCCATTTAATGTACTTATACTCTTAATCCTGATATAATTATTATTAGCTGTGTATGTCACTTGTTGTTTTGATTTATTAAAAGGCGAGATTCTTTCGCGAGTCAATAAGCCTGGTAAATTGGATAACAATGATATACATTGGCGAAGTAATAATTAGTTGATGGAATCCATGTCTCGATTTTGAGATTGATGATACTCCTTTATGAAAGCTTTTAAGTTTTCATGTGTAAATCCGGCCGGTGGATTTTGTATCTGACACATGAAATAAGTTAAGTGTAAGTTTAAAGGAAGTAATCAATAAATTAAATAGTCAGTAATTTAATTTGATTGATTAGTATCTGAATCTTAACATGGGAAGTTAAATAAGGTTTTATGGAAGAATTTCGAAATTGAACTAAGGAGTGCAATTACGAATTTTTAGTGGAATAATTCGTAATTTATTATGATGGAAATTAATTTCAGAATTTCAAAATTAATATCATAATAGGAAGTCTTGTTAATTAAATTCTGTGGTCCCTACTGTGCCTAAATAATAGAAAATAGTGGAAACTGTTACTTAGTGGGAAAGAAAATATGGAAATTGTCCCTTAGTGGGAGAAGGAAACCTAACAGGTTTTGAAAACGGTTTTGACCCAAAAATGCAGCTATATATATGGATATAAGGGCTGGACGTTTGAGTTATGATTCTGACTGCGGTTTCTACTAGAATTTTGCCCACCCAAAATTCTCTATTTTCGGTTATTGTTTGAGTAACACAGTAGAAGACTGTGGAAATCTGCAGGTGTGTGGTATCAACTGAGGAACTGGAGAACGACATAGATTTGTTGTGTTTACGCTTCAAGAGGTAATCCTAAAATCTCCATACGTGCTAGTTGTTTAGATTACACGTGAATAAGATTCTGTTATTGCTTCCGTTGTGGTATATACTCCAACACTTGGTATCAAAGCTTACTCACGTCTAATTAAATAATTAGGATAAACCATAAGGATTAATATCATGTTCTATATGCAAGTTTTGAATTACATGCAAAGTTTGTTTTTTCTGAAAACGTGCACTGTTTTTTGGTGTGATTATCTGTTATGGGTTGTGTTGATTATTCTGAAAACTTGATGTATCCTTTTAATATTGGTGGTGTTGAGTGAGAATAATCTGAAAGTTGAATTTTATCATGTAAAACGGCAAAACAAGTTTTGCCAAATTAGGGCAGGAAATCGGAGGTCAAAAAGTTGACGGACTCCGATTGACCTGAAACTTGGCAGGTCCATGCGAAACGGCCCAGTGAGCAATACTCATGGATTGACTAAAGTCGTTTTTTGGTCTTTCGGGGTCATTTAGATGGTGTTTTTGCTATTTTTCTAAAATTCTGAAAAAAAATTTAGTTATTTTTAATTCCAGTAATTGTGGGGATCAATTCCCTTGGTCCTCGGGCTTAACAAATCAGTGATATAATGTTTTTTACACTTTGACGTAGGTCTTCTTCCATATCGGATAAAAAATATTATGAATAATCACCATATTATACTAGTCATTGATTATTTGTATTTACTCTCCATCTGAGTATGCATGTTGGTTCAATGGGACTAATATATGNTTGACGTAGGTCTTCTTCCATATCGGATAAAAATATTATGAATAATCACTATGTTATACTAGTCATTGATTATTTGTATTTACTCTCCATCTGAGTATGCATGTTGGTTCAATGGGACTAATATATGTTGAATGTTGATATTCACTTGGATTAAATTAATAGTTCACTCTCCATCTGAGTATGACCTGTTTAAGTTTATGGAGTAAAAATCTGTTATTATATATGTATATTGTAAGAATAGCTTCTTTCCCATCGAAATTTGTTGTTCAAGGTGCATAGATTGTATATATATAATGTGTTTTGAATTTTAATGTTCATAAAACAAACTGATTTGATCTATTTAAATATTTAATGTCTTCCAGATTGACAATGACTACTTTCAATCCCCTTACTGCCATTCTTACCCAAAACAAACTTGAGGGTCCAAATTATGTTGATTGGAAACGAAATTTGGATATTATTCTAATTGCTGAAGAGTACAAATTTGTGCTTGATGAGGTGTGTCCAGAAAAACCTGGAAATGATGCCACAGATGATGAACAGAAGGCTTACCAGAAATGGATTAAGGCTGATGAGATGGCGCGGTGTTACATTTTGGCATCCATGTCGAATGTTCTGCAACATCAGCTTCAGTCGATGGAGTCTGCTTATGACATTCTGGAGAATCTCAAAGAAATGTTCGGAGATCAGAATCGTGCGGCTAAGCAGACTGTCATGAAAGCCCTTCTAAATACCAAAATGGTTGAAGGTTCATCGATCAGGGACCATGTTCTGAAGATGATGAGTCTTCTGAATGAACTGGAGGTCCTTGGAGCTAACATTGATAAGGACACGCAGGTTGAAATGATCCTGCAAACTTTGCCTGATAGTTTTCAGCAGTTTCGCCTGAATTATAACATGAACAAAATGGATTTGTCCCTTGCGAAATTGTTGAATGACCTGCAATCGGCAGAGACTATTATCAAGTCCCAAGCTCCTCCCGTGGCATTGAATTTTGAGGAAGGTTCTTCTTCTAAGCTGAGAGGCGGGCAGAAAAAAAAAA